GCAACACATTTGTTTAAACAACTTAATCGTAGCCGGGAAGGTGATGAAATGTTTGGGTGTAAAAATGTACAAAAATAACAAAACGCTGTAAAACTTAAAACAAAAATTCAGTTTTCTCCAAATTTCAGTTGTGTTGACGTACTCCCCGACTTCCCTTAGGGGTACTCATACCACGGGTTGAGAAACACTGCTCTGGAACGTCAGAGCGAGTTCTCCAGCAGGGTCCCATGTATCTGGGGAAACCTGGCTGCCGGCTGAATTCTGCAGGGACAATCCCCCGCCTGGATCGCTTCTGAAGCACATGCAAGTGCGAGACAATCAAACCCGGTAATTTCTGCCCAGCTCGAAAGCCATTTCCAACTCAAACCTGCTTCTCCGCGGTACTCTTCCGCGCATAGCCACCAACTGCTGCCTCACACCTACACAGTGGTGAGTGTAGGGATTTTGCATACACTAGACAGTCGGGAAATCCCACGAGCAGAGACTTCACCGCTTATCTGGGGTCAAAGCTTCCCCAGCTCTTGGCAAGGCAGCTCTGTTGAGATATGGAAGCGAATCAAGTGCTGAGAACTACTGGTCTCCATCTCCAGGCTGGCAGAGCAAACATCCCTCACCGTGCCCCAGGCACTGCTACCATGTCCTTCCTGCCATGCCGCCCGCTCCTGGGAGACTGTCACTTGCATTGGAAGGTGAGAGACTTTCCAATCGCTCTTCATGACCAAACTGTGGGCATCCACTTTCCTGCAGGCGCTAAGCTGCTCCCGAAGCGAAAAACAGGGTAACCCCCAGCTGATGCTACAGGGCTCCTGCTGCATTCTGACGCTGGTGTCAGAGAGGTATGGATTCTGGGGCCATGGCTGGAGGTCTGATGCCAAAGGCAGGGGGCTTTAAGGAGGGTTGGAGAAGAGGGCTTGTCACAGTACAAGCACTGGATGGAGATAGTCTTGTTGGGCATTGTGGCACCACCGGCTGCATTAGCGCCCCTTACACCTGGCCTCTGACTGACTGCAGCCCCTGCTGTTCCCACGGCTATCGTGCGAGTCTGATCCCACTGCACAATTCCTCCAGCCTGCAGGCCACATCCCAAACCCACCCTGGAAATGGCCTAGAATGCTGCTGGCCTGGCGGCAGGACAAATTAGCCTGGAACAATGTTCCCTCTAATCTTGTCCGTGTGGGGAATATTATTTGTTTATATGCACCGAGGCACGTGAGAATGTGCACCACCACCAGAAATACACACCTCGCTGTGGGCACTAATCAGCTGGGTGGCTCTGGAATCTCTCCAGCACGGCCACCCGGCTTACAGGGAACGCTGCCTGGGCCACCAACCGCACGGCACCATAGGGACACGGAGTTTCCAAAGGGATGCGGCTTGTTGCCACCGGGCGAACACAGGCCAGCCAAGAGGCGTGAGCTATCCCATTGCAGCTTCTATGCAGAGACAAGCCCCAGGATGTTCTCCCTCCGCCTCACAGCACTCGAGGAGCGTATATGAACCCCAGGTCCCATAGCTCCCCAGCAGCAAACAGCCTCGGAGGGAAGAAAGATCTGGGGCTGGCTCCATCCTTCTCCATCCACACACACAGCCAGGTTGGCTCCCTCGCGGGCGATGCCAAGTGACATCTGAAACAGGGCCTGACACCCAGACATGCAAGGCGGAGCAAGGAATCCGCCCTGTTCTCAATAGCACCATGAAAAGGGAAACGAAACCACACCAGGCAAATACCCGGCCGAGTTCCAGTAGGGACTGAATCGGAATAAGCCACCCAGCCAATCACTCACCGCAGCCAGGCCTTGCTGGGAGATCCTCTCAGGAGCAAGCCCACAGACAGGAAGCAAGGCTAGGCTATGGGGAGGCTGCTTTGCCCAGCAGCTCAGCTCACACAGCCTGAGGCTGAGCCAGGGTGCTGAGCGTCCATGCTGCGCATCAGCCCTGTGCTTCGACAGCCGCTCCAAATGCCCTGAAAGCCGAGATTCCTCGCGCTCCTCTGGGGGCGCTGGCCAGATTCCTCCACAAGCCGAACAGCCCCAAGGGAAGGGAGTGAAGAAAAGCCGCGCTTTGAAAGCGAATGTTAGACTCTCCCGTGCTCCCACCCAGCCAGGCTGTCTGCTCCTCACACAGGAGTGCCCAGACAGGCCAAGCGCTCGCTGTCCTAGGGCTGAGTTTGAAGGGTTTGTATGTCAGGCTTTAGCAAAGAAAAAACCCCAAAGTCTCTGAACATCAGACTGGGTCAGACCAAAGGCACCTCTAGCCCAGTGTCCTGTCTGCCGACAATGGCGAGTGCCAGGTGCCCCAGAGGGAATGAACAGAACAGGTAACCATCACATGATCCCTCCCCTGTTGACATTCCATCCTCTGACAGAGGATAGGGACACCCACCCTGCCCATCCTGGCTAATAGCCATTGATTGACCTATCTTCTGTGAATTTCTCTAGTTCTTTTCTCTTTTTTTTAACCCTGTAAAAGTCCTGGCCTTCACAACATCCTCTGGCAAGGAGTTCCACAGGTTGACTGTGTGTTGCATGAAGAAATACTTCCTTTTGTTTGTTTTAAACCTGCTACCTATTAATTTCATTTGATGATCCTAGTTCTTGTTAAAACAAAAGGAAAAAAGGGAAAAAAATATGTAGCACTTTAGAGACTAACAAGATAGTTTATTAGGTGATGAACTTTCGTGGGCGAGACCCACTTCTTGGATCTGGCCCATGAAAGCTCGTCACCTAATAAACTATCTTGTTAGTCTCTAAAGTGCTATATATTTTTTCCTTTTGTTTTACCAAGGTCAGACTAAAACGGCTACCTCTCTATTCCTAGTTCTTGTGTTATGGAAACAAGTAAATAACTTTTCCTTATTCAGTTTCTCCACACCAGTCATGATTTTATAGACCTCTGTCATATCCCCCCTTAGTCTCCTCTTTTCTAAGATTAGAAGTCCCAGTCTTTTTAATCTCTCCTCATATGGCAGCCATTCCTAATCATTTTAGTTTCCCTTTTCTGAACTTTGTCCGGTGCTAACATATCTTTTTTGAGATGAAGCAACCACATCTGTATACAGTATTCAAGATGTGATTGGAGGGGTGTGACGTAGTGAGGGAACCTGGCTGGTTTCTATGCTGCTGGCTCTGGGGTAACCCCCACTGGCTGCCGTGGGTACCACGACCCAGCAAAACAGGATGAGTCACTATGCAAAGGGACCTCTCAACCAGTATGGCCAGACACCCCCCATGGAGAGGAACAAAGGAAGGTGGATGCTGCCCTGGCTGGGGGGCAGGGCTGGAAGAGTGTTGGTTAGTGGCTGTCTGGGAGCATGGAGGAGACAGCCTAGGGAAAGGGGCTGGAGTTTAGGGGCCCAGTCTCCCCCCATCTCAAGGGGGCCTGAGGCATCCTAGCCCAGCTCTGTGACCAGATTCCATCTGTGCTGTGCTGTATCCTGGAGAGGCAATAAACTTCCTCTATTCCACCGGCTGGTGCAGTCTGTTTGTGCCATTTCGGGGTGCAGGAGACACTTCCTTTTGTTTGGGTAAGCCTACTGCCTATTAATTCAATATGTAGGTGTGCTATGGATTTATAAAGTGGTGCATTTTCTATTTTACTATGAATGCCTTTCCAAATGGCTTCTAACATTATTAGCTTTTTTGACTGCTGCTGCACATTGGGCAGATGTTTTCAGAGAACTATCCACAGTGACTCCAAGACTTTTTTTTTAAAGTGGCAACAGCTCATCATTTTCATAGTATAGCTGGGATTATGTTTTCCAATGGCTTAACAACCAGTTAAAAGAAGCAGTGAGAGATTAAAAGGCATAGTTTTAAAAAGTGGAAGTTAAATCGTATCCTATGGATTTATACAGAGACAATAAGACGTTCTCTATCTTATTCTCCATCCCCTTTTTTAATGATTCCTAACACTTTGTTTGCTTTTTTTTTGACTGCCACTGCACAGAGTGGATGTTGTCAAGAGAACTTTCCACAATGGTGCCAAGATTTCCCTCTTGAATCGTAATAGTTAATTTAGTCCCCATCATTTTATACCATAGTATAGCTGGGATTATGTTTTCCAATGTGCGTTACTTTGCATTTATCAACATTAGAATTCATTTGCCATTTTGTTGCCCAGTCTCCTAGTTTTGTGAGATCCTTTGGAAGCGCTTCACAGTCAGCTTTGGTCTTAACTCTCTTGGGAAGTTTTGTATCATCTGCAAATGTTGCCACCTCACTACTTACCCCTTTTCCCACACACTTTGCTTGTAAGCAAAACAGCAACGTCTTTGTGCCAAGGTGCTCTGCTAAAGCAGACAGCTTTGTCACCAGAATCTCCCAGGCCTTCCTGTGCCGTCACCAAGGGTGTGTCTAGACTACATGCCTCCGTCGACGGAGGCATGTAGTCTAGACACACCCTTGGTGACGGCACAGGAAGGCCTGGGAGATTCTGGTGACAAAGCTGTCTGCTTTAGCAGAGCACCTTGGCACAAAGACGTTGCTGTTTTGCTTACAAGCAAAGTGTGTGGGAAAAGGGGTAAGTAGTGAGGTGGCAACATTTGCAGATGATACAAAACTTCCCAAGAGAGTTAAGACCAAAGCTGACTGTGAAGCGCTTCCAAAGGATCTCACAAAACTAGGAGACTGGGCAACAAAATGGCAAATGAATTCTAATGTTGATAAATGCAAAGTAACGCACATTGGAAAACATAATCCCAGCTATACTATGGTATAAAATGATGGGGACTAAATTAACTATTACGATTCAAGAGGGAAATCTTGGCACCATTGTGGAAAGTTCTCTTGACAACATCCACTCTGTGCAGTGGCAGTCAAAAAAAAAGCAAACAAAGTGCCCCTCCGCCAGACAATTCTGACCCTGAGCTCCTCTGCAGGGCCTCAGCCTATCCACGTTTCAGTCCCTGTTAAAGACACCGCTGCCCTGCTGCAATAATGACTCTCCTTGGTCTGTATGGGAGCTGCACGTAAACGGCCTGTCTGTGCCCCGTGTCCACTGACCTTCGACATTCAGCTCTCAGTCCCTTGGAGTAGGTGCAGTCTTACATAGTTGGAAAGGTGCTGGCATGCAAGTGTTACTGCAAAGAAGGAACAGCCTAACTGTGGGGCCTTCCACTGGACTTTGTAACTGGCCAGAACCTGAGTTTATCTCCCAAGACGCCACACCCCCCGCGAGCCAAGAGAGCTCTTAATACAGTCAGGGCAGCACAGCCTGGCCAGTAAGCTCGGACGCAAACAGCCCACCAGGCTGAAGCGGACGTGTAGGGCTACCCACAAGCCCTGGCGCAGCTCCCAGCTCTGCTCCCAGAGCAGGGCGGCAAATGAAATAAGACCCCGCAGATTCCAGCCTGCTCTAACCACGTTACACAAAATGCAACATTGGACAGAGCCCTGGAACGAGCAGCCAGCTCAGTGCACTCCCCCCAGTTTGGTACAGCCCTGGCACTGGTACTAAGCGAGACCCTGGCCTTGAAAGGGGCCAGAGTCTAGATTCAGCCCACACTGTCCTGAGGACTACCAGGCTAGGAACCAACCTGCAGACTAGACCTAGGATCCACCCTGCTATTCACGCCCCTTGGGCTCCAAACAGTACATCTAGTGTTATGGACAGAAACTCAGCATCCATGAATTCCCAAATTCTACCCCTAGTCTGCCAATAATTCCCCGGGCAAGATCTCTTCTTCCTCACAAGTAACACAGAGATAGTCATGGGGCTTGTGATACTCTGCCTTTGTCTACCCTGGGATATCCACCACTGGGGGATTTGCACCATGGCCAAGTCAACGTGCAACTTGCTGCATTAGTCTGAAACTGGAGTGAGGTGCCCTGGTGCAAATCACATGACACCAGTGGAAATCAAGTCTGCAAATACCAGGCAGGGGGCTGCTCTGCTACAGCTGCAAAAGGGAGTGCATACGAGCCCCCCTCCCCGCCCACATTGGGAGGGTAGAAAGCGCTGCATGCGGATCACATCTGCCTTCCACAGTCAGAAGCCGTTTACAAACAGTCCCTGTCCCTAAGCCCTGCAGGTTTTTCTGCAGTGTCACTCTATCCACCATTACTGAATCTGAAACAAAACGTTAATGTTAAAAACCGAATAGAGAAGAAGGCAAAAGTCCCTTTGCCTCATTTAAAAAAAAAGTGAAAATTGCTTTGCCTGCAGTTGTTTGAGTGTCAGCTTTTCAACTGTCCTCAGCCCAGCTCTCAGGGTGACACACAAAGTTAGGAACCCAAACACCAGCATACGAAGAGACACATATGGGGGGGGGGGAGTACCAAGGAGTATTGTGCTCCCTCCATATTTGTCCAGCACAGTGGACTCTGGGGCGCTATGATAATGCAAATAAATAGCAAAGCTCATGATAAACACCGTGGCAGCAGGTACTGGAGGGCTGAGCTGTGGAGTGAAAAATCTACTTTCTCGCATCATACAACACGGAATGTCGAAGGAGGCAGCTGGTTGGATTCTCACTTCCATCTTCATGTTCTCCTCCAGGACAAGGACTCTGCCATGCCAACCAAGCCTACCTGGCCTATCATTCCCAGGCCAACACACCCTGCCTGCACTGAAGCAGGTTGGGGGAAGGAGACAGGCCAATATTTCAGACTAATGCCCTGCTACCCTGCCCCCCCCCCGCCCAAGCATGGTCTGGAGGTGATGGCCACAGGAGACCTGTCTTTCCACCCCACAGGGCTTAGCTAGGATAAGAGCAGAGATTATAATGCTTGCCTTTTGGGACAGGACGTGCCTTTCAGTGCGAAACAGAGCTTGAGAACTGAATTAAGAAGTCTGTCTCTGTTCACACCATGCAGGCACATTGCCGGCAGCAAGGTCCTGATACTGACACTGCAAAAAACTACCTACAGCCTGCACCCAGGTTTGGGGGGTTTTACATGAGGTTTAGTGACACTGAGTTTCACAATGACCAAAATATTTACAAAAACGTTACTTCTCTTGGTTGATTTTTAACACTTCCTCCCCACCCCATCCTGGCTCATATAAGGCAGGTATATGAAGAAATTCCGTCTTCAAAGGGCAGGTACAAAACAACTATGCAACCAAGCTGCTGGTTTCACTTTGGTTTCTGGGCAATGTAACCCAGAGGCTGTTCATTTCAGAAGTGCACAATTCAGTCCTATAACTGATCCCATAACTAGGCCTGAGCAGACGGATCCTTGCACCCATGCATAGTTTTGGTGAAGTCTATGGGGCTCCGCGTAGGTCCGATCACAGGATCAGGACTTTGACAACACAAAATAATAGTTTCGGCCTGCTTAAAGCAAAATTATGCCACATGGTAGTAAAAAGGCTTGTGCTTTGCCTGCTCCAGAGCTAACCCTGACCAGACCCCCTTGTGCAACACTGCAGTCACATGTACACATCTCTCTTACATCGGACCAAATGCAGATTTTGTACCAGGATACACATTGTGGGCTAGGGGGTAGTGGTGAGTCATTACCGACACAGTTATCCCAGTACAATCCCTGGCTGCAATTATAACAGGAGAAAAGTACCAGTTGTACCAACATAGCATATGACTGTTCCCATAGGGTAATAAGCTGAGAGGGGTAAACACGCCATCATCCTGGCAAAACCTCATCCACATGGAGGGGGCGTGCACTGCTTTAGATGCATCATGGTAGTTAAAGTACTGTGCATGGTCTTCATGGATGCAAGGCCTTACCCTAGTCCCATCATCACCTCCCATCCCTGGAGCCACCAAGAGTGGAAGCTGGTTTGTTCCCAAACTGCTCAGTTAGACATGGCTGGTGGGTGTGGCTTTCCTGCACCAGACACCCCTGACTCTAACCAAATCACAATCTACCCTGCGCACAACCACTAGGACCAGCACTTTGAATGACATCAAGAGACAAAAAGCAGCTGAGGCCAAGGTCTGCAGCAACTCTATGGAGCGACACAGAGGCGTACCCTAGAACCAGGCTGCCGGGCTGATACCAGGACAGTGCCAGTAAGAGTGGGGGCACCCCAAGAGACAAGAAGGATTCTGTGCTAACCCTGGCTCCAGGGACACACCATTGTCTTCAAGGTGTTAAGCAGGGAGAGGGCAGCACGCCCTCTGTGTGGGAGGTAAATGTCCCACTCCCCAAGCCCGGTTCACAACCCAGCCCCAAGAACTGGGGAGCCAAAGCAAAACACCTGCATTCACAGCCCAAGGTGCAGGCGGGAAAGAGGCAGCCACAGGTGAAAAAGGAATGGGGGTTTTCCACCCCTTGACACAGCACCCCCAGTGTCACCGGCACGGACCTGTGCCCCTCCTGACTCTCCTTTCCCCCAGCCAGACTGGGCTTGTCTCACCCAGCAGCCTCTCAGTGTTGTCAATGGCAGTCTGTGTGTGTCTGTTAATGGCAATCTGTCAGCATCTGTGTGTGTCAATGGCAGGCTGTATCTGGGTCTGTCAATGGCAGTCTGTCTGTATCTGTGTGTGCATCTGTCAATGGCAGTCAGTCTGTATCTGTGGGTGCATGTCTGTCAATGGCAGTCTGTGTGTGCATGTCTGTCAATGGTAATCTGTGTGTGCGTATGTGCGTCTGTCAATGGTAATCTCTGTGCATGTCTGTCTGTCAATGGCAGTCTGTGTGTGTGTGTGTCCGTCTGTCAGTCAAGGTATGTGTCAGTGTCTGTCAATGGCAGTCTGTGTGTGTCTTTCAGTGTCCGTCTGTGTGTGTGAATGGCAGTCCATGTCTCTCAATGTCGGTCTGTGTGTCCGTCTGTGTGTGTGTGAATGGTGGTCCGTGTGTGTGTCTGTCAAAGGTCGTCTGTGTATGTGTCTGTGTCTGTCTGACAATGGCCATCTGTCTGTGTGTGTCTTTTGGTATGTGTCTGTTGGTATCTGTCAATGGCGGTCTGTGTCTCTCTTTCTGTTGGTGTCTGTCAATGGCAGGCTGTATGTATCTGTCAGTGTCCATCAATGTCCACCTGTCTGTGTGCATGTCTGTCAATGGCAATCTGTGTGTGGGGATGCGTCTGTCTGTGTGTCAGTGTCTGTCAATGGCAGTCTGTGTGTGAGTGTGTCTGTGTGTTAGTGTTTGTCAATGGCCTTCTATGTGTGTCTGTCGGTGTCTGTCAATGGCCTCTGACTGTGTGTGTGTGTTTGTCAATGGCCGTCTGTGTGTGTGTGTGCCTGTGTCAGTGTCTGTCCATGGCCGTCTGCGTGTGTCTGTTGGTGTCTGTCAATGGCCTCTGTTTGTCAATGGCCATCTGTGCGTGTGTGTGTGTCTGCGCATCAGTGTCTGTCAATGGCCTTCTGTGTGTGTGTCTCAGTGTCCGTCTGCGTGTCTATCAATGGCCGTCTGTGTGTCTGTCAATGGCTGTCTGTGTGTGTCTGTCAATGGCCTCTGACTGTGTGCGTGTGTTTGTCAATGAACATCTGTGTGTCAGTGTCTGTCAATGGCTGTCTGTGTGTGTTTCTCAGTGTCCGTGTGTGTGTCTGTCAATGGCTGTCTGTGTGTGTCTGTCGGTGTCTGTCAATGGCCTCTGACTGTGTGCGTGTGTTTGTCAATGGCCGTCTGTGTGTCTGTGTGTGTGTCTCTCAGTGTCCGTGTGTGTGTTTGTCAATGGCTGTCCGTGTGTGTGTGTGTGTCGGTCTGTGTCAATCAGGGCCCGTCTGTCTGTCCGTGTCCCAGCCGGCCCGGCCAGGCCGCGCGCTCCCGCCCGCCTTTGTTT